CAATGTTGCGCTTTCAGCCTGCATCGCTCTGCACGGCACTTGGCTCTTTTCGCGTTCACTATAAGAAGCATCCCCTGTGCATTGTAGATTAGAGATTCGACTTGAACGACAGGTCTATGTGACTCTGGAGCTGCTTGATTTATACTGAAATAGCCGTGCGTGTGTGAGCATATTCTGCTTGGCTACCGGAGGCAGGACTCCTCTCTAGGCCAAAGCATGATTGCCAAGGCATGACCAGTGGACTGGCACAGGATGGTTCAGATTTGAGAACATCTGGTTCACGGTGCTTAGAGGTGACATAATTCACCAAGTGGAACTTCAAGGAAAGGGGAAGGTGGAATGATGGCACCAAAACTGAGCCTTCGTTGGGAGCTAGAGTAAAGTGGACTGGGCTAGACTAGGCTATAAGCTGGGCTAGGCTAACGGGGGTTGGATCAGCGGGGCTAGAATGAATTGAAGGGGGCTGGCTGGGCTAAGCTAAAGGATCCAATAACTATGGACCAGAATGGGGGGAGTGGGATGGGCGGCACTAAGGATAAGTCTGGGAGTGACTGGTGGACTGGCTAGGACTAACTAATGCAAGTGTCTCCCCTGTGGCTCCTAATGAGGAAGTGGTCTGTCCTGGAACCCATTAGAAAGGGGCTCAAAGAGGGGATGGGTTGCTGCTCCGAATTAGCGCTGGGATGAAGAGCAGAGTCGGCAGCCCCCAAATTACATCCAGATGCAGTGCACTGACAGACCCCCAGGGATGCCTGCCGTCTGCACGGAGGATGTGCGACATACATAGCTCATTCGGGTTGCAGGAGGGAGGTGGCGGAGCTGGAGTTGTGCACAGCCTGTGAGTGCAACAGAAAGAGAGAGAGAAAGACACCGCTCTGGCAGAGACAGAGCTGCTGTTATAACAGGGAGCTGGACTCTCTCCCCAGCACCGCCAGCCAGCCCATGTTCTCCAACTCAGGTTATTGAGGAGCCGTTTAAACTGTAAAGAAGGCAATTTGCTCTGCAAGCTTTATTGAACGAAGGACAGATGCTGATTCCCCCCTCCCCCACGCCCTGCTGACTTTTCATCTTTTCATTCCACGCCCCCTCCCATCCCTGCCCCTTTATCTTTTTTCCCATCCAACTCTGGAGGAGGAGCCGAGTCGCATGAAAAACACAATGATGGAAAAGCAACGGCAACCCCTGGGAAACTTTGCAGCAAGCCTCTGAGTTGAGGATCCCCAAAGTCCCTTCCACCGGCTCATATGTGCCGATTCACAACAGCTGATTTCCTTCATGCCTTTCACCTTGGCAAGATGATCGCCTCGTTCCTCCACAACGAGACACACACGTAATACCCAGACTGACAAACAGAGTCTCTGGTCAAAAGCAAAATTTGTGCCTGTAAGATTGTCAATGCACTCAGGTCAGCTCTGCTGCAGTTTCCACGGTATACATCTGATGAAGTGAGCTGTAGCTCACGAAAGCTCATGCTCAAATAAATTGGTTAGTCTCTAAGGTGCCACAAGTACTCCTTTTCTTTTTGCGAATACAGACTAACACGGCTGTTCCTCTGAAACCTGTTTTCAAGTGATGAGTTTAGTAGTATTTTAAATGAGAGAATGTTAGGACACTGAACTCATGAGACCTGGGTTCTGTTCCCCGCTCTGGCAACGGCCTTGTCGCTGGCCTTGGGCAAGTCACTTCCCCTCTCTATGCTTCAGTTTTCCCACCCACACTTTACCTCTTGTCTGTTTAGACTCAGTGCTTCAGGACAGAGACTGTCTCTTAGTATATGTTAGCTCAGTCCCAGCACAACGTGGCCCTGATCTTGGATGAGGTCCATAGGGGCTCCTGTAGTACTTCCGAGCAATAGTATTGCATTAGATTGTCCTGTTTTGCTTCCAAACAGAAATGACCTTCAATGAGGAATTTAGGAAGGGATTCATCCTGGCTGTTTTTTGGAGCTTTTACATTTTTGAAGTGCTCAGTATAAAGCTCCATGGCATAAAATAATATTTTCTTTCCCTATTGTTTTTGTCTTTTTTCCATCTGGCAATGTCCATCCTGACCCTCTTTCAAAATGAGAAAAAGTGAGAAAAAGTGAGAAAAAACCAACAACATGAGGAGAGGCTGAGGGAACTGGGCTTATTTAGTCTGCAGAAGAGAAGGGTGAGGGGGGATTTGATAGCAGCTTTCAGCTACCTGAAGGGTACAGACTAACGTGGCTGCTACTCTGAAACAAACATGTAAACTATTGTTTAAGTCCTATGGAGGCTAAACCAACACTGTGAATTCCACCACGCTGGAACTTTGGAGATAGGAGGGGGTTGAGCTCTCGGTTTTGCTAATGGCTGGTGCTGCTGCAGCTGAGAGAAGTGCAGGGCAGGAGAAAGACACAGGCTTGACCTCCTGGGGGGCGGAATGCCCTTTAATTATGCACAGAACAGTAGCAACAGTGCCAGCTTCCCCTGCATGGTCCTGCCATTGGGATGAACCCCGCACCGAGAGAAGGAATCTTCCTGAGAAGTGGGGGTCGGTTTCCACGCCCCATTAGTCCTTTGGCCTCTCTGCTGAGACCGCTGCTTGGCGAGCAAATTAGTGTCAGTTGTAAAGGAGGTTTAGGGGATACAAATCATCCATAGATTGCAGGCTCCTTGGGGCAGGGACCATCCTGCCTGAGTGCTTGAGAAGCTCTTAGCATGTAGTGGGCACTACTGTGTAGAGAGAGTAATAATAATTAACAATGTGGCCACATGTCCACCAGCAGCTGGACCAAGACATTGGTCAAGTCATTGCCTGTAGGGACCCCTAAACTGCTGTCAGGTGGGATAACCTTCCAGCGATGCCCCTCAGGGGGAGTGGGAATTGTTGTGACAGCCAAGGAGGAAACTTGAGTAAAGAAGCGGATCTTGCTAGGAGTGGAGTGAGGGATTTTAAGATTTAGAACCACAGGGGTGTTCCCTGTTGGAGAAATATTGCAAGACGGGCCAGGCTCAGGGACCAAAGGACTTGACCGTGTCCTTTTCGCTTTGAATTGAGACTCCCATGGCCTGATTTCGTATGTAGGTCCACCTTGAAGAGAGTAACGAACGGGCACTTTACAGACTGCCTGTGTATGTATTTCCATGCAGGGCACTAGAGCTCAGGAGGAGCCCTATGGCCCATCAGGCCATTCATCTGCATCATTTAGAGGCCCACATAATAACGTTTATTCTTGCCTGTATTTATTATTTTGAGTCACAGCTTCCCAGGGTTAGAATCATAGAATCATAGAATATCAGGGTTGGAAGGGACCCCAGAAGGTCATCTAGTCCAACCCCCTGCTCGAAGCAGGACCAAATCCCAGTTAAATCATCCCAGCCAGGGCTTTGTCAAGCCTGACCTTAAAAACCTCTAAGGAAGGAGATTCTACCACCTCCCTAGGTAACGCATTCCAGTGTTTCACCACCCTCTTAGTGAAAAAGTTTTTCCTAATATCCAATCTAAACCTCCCCCACTGCAACTTGAGACCATTACTCCTCGTTCTGTCATCTGCTACCATTGAGAACAGTCTAGAGCCATCCTCTTTGGAACCCCCTTTCAGGTAGTTGAAAGCAGCTATCAAATCCCCCTCATTCTTCTCTTCTGCAGGCTAAACAATCCCAGCTCCCTCAGCCTCTCCTCATAACTCATGTGTTCCAGACCCCTAATCATTTTTGTTGCCCTTCGCTGGACTCTCTCCAATTTATCCACATCCTTCTTGAAGTGTGCGGCCCAAAACTGGACACAGTACTCCAGATGAGGCCTCACCAATGTCGTTATGTGGGTTATACCAGCAGGGTTAGGTTCCACTCCCTGGCTGTCAGCCAGCTCCCTCTTGGGGCTGCCATGCTCTGTTGATTAGGACCTCTTGCTGGGGAAACCTTAGCTGTTTCCATCTCTAGTACTCCAAGCACCCCAGGAAGGAGTGGCAGTATTGTGATCCCCATTGTGCAGATGGAGAAGGCGAGGTGCAGAGAGGCAAAGGGGCTGGCGGTAAGTCACTGGGGAGAGACGGGAATAGAGACAAGGTCTCCTCACTCCCAGTCCCAGTGCCCTCCCACTACAGCTCACTGGCCTCCTTCTTTCAGCACTGCTTCCTCCTGTAGGATTGAACTGGGCTATGGGCTGGATCCCCTCGGGGGGCTGTATCAGTCTGTGGGCTGGGTCCCTATGGTGGGCTATCTGGTCTATATTAGTGTTTGGTTGCCCGGTGGGACTGTTACAGTCTATCAATTACATGCCCTTCAGAACTTCCTCCTGCACTTGGGACCGGGTCCACGTCGGGGGCTGCTGGTCTATGGGCTGGGACCCCCGGGGTGGCTGTCACCATCTATGGACAGGGTCCCCTCCAGGGTAACGGTGGCGGAAGGCTAAGTTGCATTGTGCAAACTCTGTCTGCTGCTGTTTCCTTTTCATATAAAAAGCACGACAAGTCCCTTCTTTCTCCTTGGTTCTTTTTATTAAATACCAAGAGGATTTAAGGTAAATAATAACAATCAGGGAGGCAGTAAAGCCTGGAGGACTTTTCCCTACTGTGTGTGAGCCGGCCCCAAGAGCCAAGCAATTGCTTGGCTGCCTTTGGCAGGATGCAGAGAAAACTGAAGGTCCCCAATTCAGGAGAGCATCCTCATAACCTTGAGCATGTGCTTGGCTCCCACTGAATGCAATTCATGTGCGGTAAGTTAAACATGTGCTTAGTTTAAGTGCTTTCCTGACTGCAGGCCATGGTGAGAGATGAGGTCTTTCTAAAAAAAAAAAATAATAATTTATTAGTTAAATAGCTTTGTTTAAAAACACAGTTCTCAACTGCCTCCGCAGCAGAGGGAAATGTTATTAAACGCGAGTCCGTCGGTAGGCAGGACGTGTGTGCGGATTAAATCCCGAGGCGCTTGGCTGCCAGATAAAGACGTTATTGTTGTCATTTTTCCCTCCTTCCCACCCTCCCTCCTTCCCTCGCTCCCACCCACCCTCTGCGAGAGAACCTTGGAGGAACAGAACCAGGGAAAACACACACACACACAGAGCTTAGAGGGAGGCTCACTCGTGTCAGAGCTGAACTGCAGTGAGGAAGAGGAGGAGGAGGGGCAGAGAGAAACGTTCCTGGGGATTAATAACAGAGAGGCAGGAGGAGGGGCAGTGCACACAGGTAAGCTCTGGACATGTGTTCTACTGGAGAGTGTTGTCATCTGGGCTGATTTTTACAACCGAGTCAGCCACCTCCTTTATCAGTGGGCTAATATTACCGTTCACTTTCCAACTTCTGTGAAACTTCACACAAGTTTTCTTTTCTTTTCTAGTTCAGCTGTTGGATCTTTCTTTCTTTCTTTCTTTCTTTCTTTCTTTCTTTCTTTCTTTCTTTCTTCAAAAGTAAAACTTGTTGGCGGGGAGGGAGAAGAGGCAAGAGGGTATCTTTAGGTCTGCAAAGCAAAAAGACAAACCCATGTGTAAGATCGTTGCAGATGCTGTAGACTGTTTCTACGGAAGCATAACTCGGGAACCCCTTCCCCCCTCCATCCCCCCAACCACTCACTACCTTTCACACACCCACTCTTTCTCACTCTCTCTCTCTCTCTCACACACTCTCTCTCTCTCTCTCTCTCTCTCTCTCACACGCATGTCTAATTTCTCAGCTGGAAATGCAAAAACCAAGGTGCCTATTTAAATGAAAGCTGCCCATCTTAATGCAAGCGCAGAACAGGAGTTGCCCTGCATCAGAAAAGAAGTGTAGAAGGGATATAGGGAGAAGTGGAGACTGAGAGCAGGCAAGATTCCCTCTGCTACAAAGTCTTGACTTTTACTGGGTGGCAGTTAACCAAAACTTTAGTAGTTTTATTCTCAGCAGACATTGGCATTTGTTAATTCCTCTTCCTATGTGTTAAACATAAATTTGCTGTTTCAGATCAGATCTCAGAAAAGCTCGGTAGGAGTTTCCCGGCCGGGGGCGGGGGGTGGGGGGAGAGAACTCCAGAAATCGCTGCAAACTCAAGTTGGGGGTGGAGGTGGCTTGGGTGTTAACCCCCCTTTCCAAACGGAGAGATGGAAAAAGAACACACACTGTTTTGTTTTTCTGGGAAGGAGCGAATCAAGTTCTTTTCTGAGAAGGGTGTGGGGGGCTGCACTGCGTTCCAGTTTCCTTCAGTCAGCTGGGGTTTTCGACTTGAATTGCAGAAGCTAGATCCCCGATGCCAACACGCAGAGGGCAGAACCCAAGCTGCATTCATATTTGGATCATTCCAAGGGAAAGGAACCCAGGCTCCCCTGCCCAGATTGTCCCAATGGTATAGAACTGAGAGAGTTCCACTCCAGGGCATTCGGAGAAGTTTAACCCATTCCTTGATGCATAGATTTGACACTGCACCGGGACAATATGGAGACATGAGGACCAAGGTGCTTAGTCCCTGATCTGGCCGAGGTGGGAGAGAGAATGAAGTGTGAAGAGAGTAACCCTAACTGAATCCCTAGGAAAGAGATTCTGTGTATAGCAATGAGCAGAGACTTGTGTTGTACAGAATCCTCCCTGTGTGGACTGAGAACTGTGGCCTGGGGAAAGGGTGTGTGTGTGTGTATTTGTGTGGTGCGGAGGGGGGAAGATTCAGCCTTGCTGTGACTCAGTGTAGGGGTGGTAGCCTGAGACAGAGAAGCAGTTTTCTTCAGCCTGGTCTACATCTAAAAATGAGATTAGCCACGTCGCTCGGGGCTGTGAACCATTTTGCACCCTGTAGTTAGCTCGACCTAACTCCACTGTAGCGGCAAATTTGCTACATGGATGGAGAAAACGTTTCCGTTGCTGTAGGAAACAGCTATACTGCAGCAGCATTGTCGCTGTAGCCATTGTAGGGTAAATGTGTCCCAAGGAACCTGAGGTCCCAGCCCACCCTTATCAGATGTTTGGCTTCTGCTCCCTGCTCTGCAGTGCGAGGCAAACCACCCAAGATGGCATTGTTTTAATCGCCTCTGTCAGTCACAGACACTCCATATCCCAACTGTCCTGTCCTAGCCACCCAACTGCACTGAAGCTGCTTCCCCGGCCCTTAGGCGGGAGTACGGTCCTTGCGGCGTGTTGTTCATACTGTCCTTCCTACTGGAGCAATTGTGTCAGGAGAGAGATCTAAGCGCAATGGGGAGGCTTTTCTCCTCCTTGGGGAGAGAGGGGAATCTGGAGGAGCAGATAAGGCAGGCGTTGGATGGCAAATTCTCAATCCTTAGCGAGAGAAAGCAGAGGAGCTGAATTACCGACAGTGCGTAACAAAGAGGGCGTCTCAGGCATTGCGCTGTATTCGCTTTGGAAACACCGATCCCATGATCTCTTTGTGTCTGCTCTGCCAGTTCCACTCTGTCTGCAGCACAGAGGATCCAGTCATTTAGCCTGCTGGACAGAGGGGTTCTGGTGTGAGGCCAGGGGCGACCGAGGGACAGAGTGAAAGGAAAGGGTGTGGGGTGAGCCTGACGCGCTGGGAGCACAGATGCCAAAGGGGGCTTCCTTAGCACTCAACATATGCTCCTTAGCAGTGGTGGCAGAAGGATAGGAAGATACTGGGGTTGCTGACGACAGCAGGGTGGGGGATATGGCACCCACTGTAAACTCTGCACCTAAATAGGGAAAGATGAGGGGGAAATTTCTGTGGCATCTAAGTGGGGATCTGAACACCCATTTGCATGCACAGAAATACACAGTCTATGCTTGCTGCTTACACGGCCGCTTCTCAAATCAGGGGGCTATGGTTTGTTTGCAGAAGGAGACACGGGCAGAGAGGGACGGATCGAAGAGCGACACTGGTGGTGCTGAAGAGCACAAGCAAGGATTTTCTGTTACAATAACCCAGGAATTATCCAGCCAGCTGATCCTAGCTACTTTCCACACAGGGCACACCCCATCCATATGCATGAACATAAAACCTTCCCTGCAGAAAAAGGCTACTGCAGCTGAGTCCCCGGGGTTGGATTAGCCAGTGGTATGATGGCTCCAGCCCAGCACGAGTACTCTGCCATTTAAACTCTCACTCCAAAACCTCTGAGGAGAATTGGTCCTTAGCATCGGGTCTCTGTTTTTAAAGGTACTTTGGGGACCTCTGAGTCAGAGCGCTTGCCACGCTCTCCTTCATCCCATCACTGCTTTAAAGGCATGCCGGATGCATGTTTAATATATACTCGATTCTGCCACTTCAGCTCTCCAGCCCATAAAACCCCTGTTTTGTTTAGGGTTATCAAACCAGCTGACTGGGAGGCCTGTTTGGTCAACCCAACCGGTGACTGATTAGCGGCCGTAACTGATAGACAAAAGGGATGGCTAATGAGAGAGCTTGCTGTTCTTATTTTAGGTCACCCTCTCTGTTTTATAGGGACAAGCACATGCTCTGTCCTAGTCTGTTCATCACAAATGCTAAATAGCTGTAGGATGGGAAGGAGGAGGTCATCAGGCCTCAGGCGCACACGGAGGGGGAGGAAGTTGGGATCTCAACAGAGCAGCAGTGAATGGAGGGAGCTGCAGTAAAGGGAAACTTTCTTGCTGAAACAAACAGAAAATGATCCCTGGCGCCACGTTTTGTAACAAGCTGGCTGTGCACATCACTGCCCCCTACTGGACCGAATCAGAACTGCTCATTTGTGTATCATAGACCCTATTCTGCATGGAGCAAATGCTTCATCTCAGGTGTTTGGGGGCTGTCTTTCCCCACTCTTTGCATGGAAAGTCTAAAAGGCCATGAAATGCAGCTCAGTGGCAACTTGAACTACTTTATTCAATGAATTTAACTCCTTTCCCACAGGCAGTTAGCAAGTGTCATGAATATACTTGTTATTCAACCAATGCACTGTTGACTTTTTTTGACAGGGATTGATGAAAATTTTCAGAAAGCGAGGTGTTTCGCCTACTTGTGATTGGTCAGAAAGGTCACCTGCTATTGTTACTGCTCCCTGACTGGAGGAACTTGCGTGCCAACAGTTGGGAGTGCAAATCTAGTATTTGGTTTTCATGAAAACTTGTGCGTGTGACTTGAAATTCCTTCCTTGCAATCACATGAATGTGGATGGAAAGCCAAGACACAAGCGTGGCCAAAGACAATTGATTTAAACATCCAAACATATTAGAGGGAACTATAAAGTTCGAAGTGGCCTCAGATTTGTTGAAATATCTCAAATTTCTGTCACATGCCTTCCTTTTGGAAGGTATTTTTAAGACCTGGCTGGATTATTCATTCTACATAACATTTCTTGTGTGTGTAGCTCCTTCCTGTGCCTGCGAATTGTTTGCAAATTGACCCAGTTTTCTATGAATGCATTTAATATTTGGAATAGTTTATGGGGACAAATTTCATCTTGTGGGTTGTTTAACTCTTCATGGTGTGGGATTGGTCACCTGAGGCACCAGGTAGCAGCTCAGATAGCATGGTGATGGTCATCTGAAATACATACAGTGGATAGATGCACAGTAGTTACCCTCAATAAACAGCGAAGTGTTGGTTCCAGTAGGTTGATAGCATTGTTTCTGCTTGCTGACATTTTTATTCAGCTGTGACATAGAGCAAATAATGAAGATGCTACTTTCAGTGCTGATTTTCTGGGCCAATAACTGTCTGTATTGAAATGTGGATTCCTAAAAAATTTCAGAAATAAACCAACACTCCCTCATGCCCAGCAACTGGCATGACCCTGTGATAGGAGCAGAGCGAACACACTGGGTTTGTTCACAGAAATATTTGGAAACTTCTTTCCGTGTTATTCAACAACCTCTGGTATGTTCACTTGAGTGACAACCCTGTCCCGCACCTCACGCCTGCCTCTCTCTCTGCTGGGTTCTTCCCTGGGATCATTAACTCTTGCATAACATCACATCGTTTGCCATGGAATGATGTCAACAGTTAAGCATTACAATTGGAGAGGGGCCTGAACCAAAATCCCAGCTGTGAAGAGACACAAGGAGAAAATACACATTCCAGCTTTGCAACTGGCGCCTCCCTCCATAACGGGCTAAACCAAAATCCCAAATCCAACCCTCCTCCCCATCCCACTCCACCCACCTACAGCCTTTGTGGTTTTTAAAATCCAGATCGGAATTTTGGATTGGAGTCCCGGGAAACAGCTTCCGACAAGAGAGTTGGGGTTGAAAAAACGAGCATGTGTACTGGGGGGTCAGGGGAAACCAGAAGT